ATAGATAGATAGATAGATAGATAGATAGATAGATAGATAGATAGATAAGATAGATAGATATAAAAAAATGGTTTTACTCACTCAAAGTCATTATAAATACTAATCCACCCATCCAGGGTAATGCAGATGAAAAGAGAATACAGAGCCGTTCCCAGGTTCCCAAAATGCTTTGGAACAAGGGCGCCAAAGAGAGTCACTCCAAACACAGAGAAGACCTGCAAAAATACACAGTGAGAATAGTGCAAAAATAATGTATCCATTTTCTGGGACACAGCTTCCTACTTGAATTTGAAAATCACAGGAGACCATTGTAGACCTGCGGTCCCCAACCTCTGCAGGGGAGGGGAAGGACAGGCTGCACAAGTGATGGGCTGGTGCACACATGCATCTCAACTTGCAGATAGACCACGACCTGGTAATGGGGTTGGGGACTCCTGTTATAGACAATCTGAAATAGCCGTATAATTCCTTAGACTATTTTCCACACTACAAATCTCAGGACCATATATTAAGTTGTTCAGTTAGCTACATTAAGTACTACAAAAGATTTATTGGTCCAGTCTATATGCAAGAACCTAGTCAAGTAAAGCTGAATACTAAATGGGCACTTGATAAGGCTCAACAGAACTCGAGAAGAATTGGACTTAAGATTCTTTGTGGGAATGTAACGACTCTAGGCTGATGACACATTTAACTCTGCCCCTCTATAAGACTCTTATCTACAATTATTAGTTTTAAATCTTTGTATGCTATGCAGAGTCACTGTTGGGAAAAGGGCAGCCATATAAATGATTTAAATGGAAAAATCTTCTGATTGATTCCAGTGTTCTACCATCTAGTCCTTTTCAAACACGCTGGACTTCAGTTTCAAAAATCTCCAGCTATCGTTGCTAGTTGGCAATTCTGGAGGAAAAAAATATCGGCTAGAAGACATAACATTGGGACAAAATAATCTATTATGATTTTATGCAATTCTCCATCTAGATCATCTATCTGATCTCTTGTATTGCAAACAATGTGGTTTGATCTCAGTACACCCGAGATAGCCAAATCACACAGACAATTCATCAAGGGATGATGGTACTTGCTAAAGTGAGGTTTAGGCCCTAAGAATTCTGGAGACATCTCCACGTTTGACACAGAGAAGTCAAATGTTCCAGCCTGGAGAATCAAAAGCTATTTTTTCTGATCATTTAAATTAAATAAAAACATGAAGCTGAAGGAAATTGAATCAAGTAAGATCTCAGTTCAGAATAATAACAGAGTTGGAAGGGACCTTTGAGGTCTTCTAGTCCAACCCCTGCTCGGGCAGAAAACCCTATACCTTTTCATACAAATCGTTATACAATCTCTTCTTAAAAACTTCCAGTGTTGGAGCATTCACAGCTTCTGGAGGCAAGTTGTTCCACTGATTCATTGTTCTAACAGCCAGGAAATTTCTCCTTAGTTCTAAGTTGTTTCTCTCCTTGATTAATTTCTACCCATGGCTTCTTGTTCAGGTGCTTTGGAGAATAGGTTGACTATCTCTTCTTTGTGGCAGCCCCTGAGATATTGGATCACTGCTATCATGTCACCCCAGTCCTTCTTTTCATTGTCAGTTCATTTCCAGAAAAAAAGAATTTAACTTGGCATGTGGAGGGGAGATCTGATGAAGGCATCTTACCAGCATGATGGCAAAAAGTAGGATCATGATATTTGCCATGTCAGGAATGGACTTCAGGATCACTTGTATCATCCTTGCCAAGCCACCAACCAAGCTACACACTTGTACCAGCCTCATGACTCTGGAAGGGAAAATGGAAACTGTCCATGTACATTTGTATATAGTTGAAAACTCTAAAGGGTATCTTGTCTTATGTCATTCTTTCCCAATCCAATTGCTCTTTGGATATTCTGGATTTCAACTCCCATTGTCACACCTAACACAACCAACAATCATATTTCAGAATCCAACCATCAAGTTGAAATGGGCTACCAGGACAATGTTAGGGAAGCATAGACACTAGTTTAAGAGAAGATTAAATATTTCATCTAATCTGGGCTGCCCAATAGTTCATTCACTGAAATTCACGCACTCATATATTATATTGTGCAGCAGAAACTGGAAGCTGAAAAATGTTAATTACAGGGAATTCTCGCCTGACTGTCACAATTGACCCCTCCAAAATTTCTGTTGCTAAAGCGAGATATTTGTTAAGTGAGTTTTGCCCCATTTGTCCTGCCCTTGGTGGAGACTGACTCTGAGGGAGAGGAGGAACAGCCGACAGGGAGTGGAAGTGTGGCTCCGGAGGTTGTGGAGGAGGCTGGAGAAGGGCAGAGGCCGGCTGGGCAGTCAGAGGAGGACCCAGGCCCATCCCCTATCCATCCTAGGGCACGCAGGGAGGAGAGGATAAGGGAGAGACATGGTCTACTTGGGAGGAGAGGGCCTTGATCCTCTTCATGGGCTGCAGCTGTGACAACTGAATAAGATGATGGACATGCATATGGGCGAATGCTGGAAACAAAGCGTGGAAATATCTCTAGTTTATTGTTCCTCTCCGAGTTTGGCATCCTTCCCAGTGTGTGTTCTGATATCTGTGGACGTCTTCCAGCCCTTATCTTGCCTGGTTTGTGTTGTTTTTTACTCTTTATAATTTAAACAGCATTTCCTCCATCTTGTAACTGCTCGTGTGGGAGGATTTTTGTCTTCAGTCTATTTGGAGCTTGGAAGCAAAATGAAGAAATAAAAGGGGATTTACCTGTTTTTTTGTGACCGTGTGTATTTTGTATCCCACCCTGGGTCATCACACCATTGTACAACCTTTCTTGCCGCAGGTGTTAAGTGAACCATTGCAGTTGATAAGTTAGTAATCTGGTTGTTAAGTGAATCTGGCTTCCTCATGGTCTTTGTTGTCAGAAGGTTGCCAAAGGTGATCCCATGACCTTGGGACACAGCAACCGTCATCATTATGAAGCAGTAGCCAAGCACCTGAATTTTAATCATGTGACCATGGGGCTGCTACAAAATTGTAATTGTGAAAAATAGTCATAAGTCACTTTTTTCAGTGGCATTAAACAGTCACTAAATGAACTGTTGTAAAGCAAGGACTACCTGTACATGTTTTGGAACCTAACAGGGAAACTATCTTAGATTAGATCAGATTGTTGGTCCATCTAGTGTGATACTTCTAACCTCGTGTTCCAATCTTGTCATACTCAGCATAGCAGGTTGGCCATTAGCCCTTGTTTATTATTTACCTGTTGTATCAAAACATTTGCAGGCAAAGTTCTTGACAAAGTTTATCTTCTAGGATCTATATCTGTGCATATACAGCATACAGGCTAGTTACAAACCTAATGGTTGCATTTGTACAAAACACTAAGCTTGGTTAGTTTTGACCTGGGTTAGATATCTCGTGACTTAGTATATTGCCTGAATCCAGGTTATTAGGTTAGTTTGTGGTTTAATGTATTGTGAAATCCTTTAACTAGCAACAGATGACTAAAATCTCTGATGGAATCTCTCCTTTACTGCTTGATTCTGTTTTTAAAAGAAAAAGCAGATGAGACCAGAAATTGAACCCAAGATCTCCATGCACACAAAACATGTATTCTTCCACAGGACTGTGGTTCCGGCCTATTATATTACTGCCATCCAGTTTGGCACTATTTAAATCAGTCTTATCTAGAAGAATGTAAAATGTATTTTATAAATAGTGATTGGAATTTATAAATCTTATAAAAAGAGATTGGAAATTAGCTGAGAATCTTCTGAATCACAAACAGCATGAAATACTAGTTGCTAAGAATACAATAACAGGGTTGGAAGGAACCTCTGAGGTCTTCTAGTCCAACCCCCTGCATAGGCAGGAAACCCTATACCACTTCAGACAAATGATTGTTCAATCTCTTTTTCAAAAATCTCCAGTGTTGGAGCATTCACAACTTCTGGAGGCAAGTTGTTCCACTGATTAATTGTTCTCTCAGTCAGGAAATTTCTCCTCAGTTCTAAGTTGCTTCTCTCCTTGATTAGTTTCCACCCGTTGCTTCTTGTCCTGCCCTCAGGTGCTTTGGAGAATAGCCTGACTCCCTCTTCTTTGTGGCAGTCCCTGAGATATTAGAACACTGCTATCATGTCTCCCCTAGTCCTTCTTTTCATTAAACTAGACATACCCAGTTCATGCAACCGTTCTTCATATGTTTTAGCCTCCAGTCCCCTAATCATCTTGGTTGCTCTTCTCTGCACTCTTTCAAGAGTCTCGACATCTTTTTTACATCGTAACATTTAAAGACACTATTTGTCTTCGTGTCTGTCCTTGTGAATTTCCACAGATACATTGAATTGGCCATTGGATGATACAAGGACTAAACAAATCTTTGGCTTGATCCAGTAGAGATCATCTTTCCCTTTTATTTTAGGTCCTTACCTGACCATTCGAAAAAGTGTCTCATTCTCCAATGCAGGAATGACCAAACCAATGCTTAGGTACAATACAATAGAAAAATTGATGATATTCCAGCCATCCTGTTTAGAGGAGAGAACAAACTCTTGAGAGACAAGGAAATGAAAGTTAGGTATATGGAAGGATGAAGCTTCTCCAAATTTCAGATCCAAATTCAAAGGAAGGCAGAAGTAATCCAACATCGGGGATCTAGATAGAACTTCCCAAGAAGACCTCAATGTTCTGGCTTCACAAAATCATGAAACAGACTCCCTGTCCTGACAAAACCCCCTTTTTCTTTGGCTAATGTGAATTCCTATCATTCACATCCAGCAAAGTCCCGGCAAACAGTCTTTCAAGGGTGAATTGCAACCACAGACCTTATCAGGCTTGGAGAGCTGCCAGGCCGATAGCTTCCAAGTGCAACACTGTACAAGGAAAATCTTTGTGAGACTCTGGGAGTCACAAACAAATCTTCACACTAATTAAACGAACTAATAGTCTCCTGCAATCACCCCTCCCTTTCAGTTCGTCTTTATTCCCTATGGAAGGAGCCATTCACTGTCCACTTGTGCCTTTACTCCTGAGTAGACCCTTGTTCCTTAACTGTTCCCTTTGCCAGACAGCTCTGTGCATGCGCACATTGGGAACAGGCTCCAGCTGTTCTTCTGCCCCACTGATAATCACCCTGGCAGCCCAAAGTTGTTGGAGCATAAGGAGGTTATTGGAGAACATGAATGGATGACTCTTGAGGTTGGATGTGTCCTGTTGGAGAAGTCACATCCAGGGGGTGGGGAGAAGACCAGGGTCAAGGGGTAAATTTTTGATGTGATTTAGTGTTGTCTGCACCCAGCCACATGCCAACATGGCAACTTCTAATAAACCAATTTTCTTTTCTCTGAGGTGCAGCTAGAGACTTTTGATTTGAATGAGGGTGGATTTGTTGGAGCCCTGACAGCCAGTTTGACATTGACAAGAAGAGTCAATGGGGAAACCAGTTTCACTTAACAACTGTGTACCTAACTTAAAAACCGCAGTGATTCACTTAACAACTGGGGCAAGAAAAAGCCTGCAAACGGGGTAAAACTTACTTAACGTATATTTCCCTTAGCAACAGAAATGTTGGGCTCAGCTGTGGTCGTAAGTCGAGGACTACCTGTACATATCTATTTGCACCAAGTTTCAACGCCTGGATGATGTTCCTTTGGACTAAACTTTAAGACACAACCCTTGGCCCACTCACCTTCCAGTACAAACAGAATCCGTAGTACCAATTGAGGATGACCTCACAGACGAGAAAAGACAGCACAATCGTGTCAATGGCATTGAATAAGCCAAAGTATTTCTGTGTAAGGAAAAATATAACAAAAAGAGATTTGCATGCCAACATTTTTCCCCCTCCCCAAAAGTTCCATATTTGGCCTTTGAGGCTCGGGTATTGACCTCATTTGCATGATACTGCTTACATCTGCATGCATGCTCATGAGCCCAGGAAAGAACGGTGAGCTGATTATTTATTTATGTATTTAATGGCTAGATTTATTTGCCACCCATCTTGCCATTGGGCTATTCTGGGCAAGGGCCTTAGGGCAACTCAACATGGCCAGCTCAGCCCAGCCAGCTCACCACCACCAAGTTGCTCCCCATGACCAACTCACCACAGGGAAAACAGGCTGAAGGGAGAGCCAGGTGAGTAGTGAGTGGGTGGATGCAGAGGTGGTATCCAGCAGGTTCTGACCAGTTCTGGAGAACCGGTAGCAGACATTTTGAGTCATTCAGAGAACCCGCAAATACCACCTCTGACTGGCCCCGCCCCCATCGATTCTCCGCCTCCTGAGTCCCACCTGATTGGCTGCATCTTCTTTTGTTGCCCTGCGCAGGAGATAGGAGCTGGAGAGCAGGATAGTGGGGTGGGGAGGGAATGGGGATTTTGCAGTATCTTTCCTCTGCCACCCCCACCAAGCCACTCCCACCAGGCAATGCCCCCAGAATCAGTAGTAAAAATATTTGAATCCCACCACTGGGCAGGTGGGCAGAACAAAGAGCGGCGATGGTGGCCAGGGCCTACCCATTTTCACACCCTCCACCATTGTCATATTGAGCTCTGGGCTGCCTGGGATGAGTTGTCACCACAGCCAGTTGGCCATGTGGTGTTGTCCTGTGGCGACTTGGCGGTGGTAAGTTGACAGAGTCGACTTGGCAGTGAGGAATTGGTGGCCATAAGCTGACCACGCTGAGCTAAATTGTCAGCCAAATTGTCTCATTTCACTATCGGTCTTACAACAGCAAAATGGAAAAAGTAATTTTAAAAATGTAAACATAACAATACAGTAGCCAAGCAATAGCCATAGCACTTAGACTTATATACTGCTTCACAGCGCTTCACAGCCCTCTCTAAGCAGTTTTAGAGTCAGCCTATTGCCCCCAACAATCTGGGTCCTCATTTTACCGACCTCGGAAGAATGGGAGGCTGAGTCAATCTTAAGCCTGGTGAGATTCGAACTACTAAATTGCAGGCAGCCAGCAGAAGTAGCCTGCAGTCCTGCATTCTAACAACTGCGCCACCATGGCTCAAAGCATTGAAACAATAAAAATACAGAGTACAATAATATGAATTAAAACAGGGGTCTCCAACCTTGGCAACTTTAAGCCTGGCAGAATTCAACTCCCAGAATTCCCAGAATTCTGGGAGTTGAAGTCCTCCAGGCTTAAAGTTGCCAAGGTTAGAGACCCCTGAGTTAAAAGATGGGCAGAGGGGAAGCAGGAAACGCAGGGGGGAGCTGGGGTCAACTAATGAGCTAAGTCCATCCATTATTTCCTTCTTGCAGGGAATGGGTACTATTTTTACACGTAATGGGCACATTTCTTAACAGCCTGCAAGGGTGGCACTGCATAAGATTTTCTCCCAGCTCATGAGATCCATGGGTTGTTTTTTTTATTGTGTTATTACTTTGGGAAAGTTATAGAGAACTTTTAAAAAAAAAATCAAAATAAACATGTTAAGCCTCAAGGAGGTTTAGGTCACCTATGCTGAGTCTTCACTAAAAATTTCAAACTCGCAGCTCTGAGAGTGATCTTTTGCTATCCAGTTTCTGTATCATTCGTGGCCCGCAAAATGGGGCTGGACTGGGGGGGGGGGGGGCGAGGTTTATGCAGCCCAGGGAGCATCAAGAGACACAGGACAGTCCCTGGAGAAGCTCGGGTCTTCCCCCACCCCCACATTTTTAGCAGGAAGCAGTTCTCCTGCCAGGCACACAATATACTAACATCTTCAAGTGTTGGCTCCGTTCGAAAACTAATGATGATCGCATTGATAATTACAACGGTCGCTAACAGGATCTTGAAAGCTGAATGATGCAGGAACCTGTCCATGCAGGTTTTTGAGATAAATTCTTCCACATCCCAGTCATCCTGTTGAGGAAAGAGTGGTGTGGTTCTCTGATTATTCTTTATTTAGCATACGATGAGAACCTGATAGAAGAGAAGTAAACCAGAGGTGGCATTCAGCAGGTTCTGACCAGTTCTGGAGAACCAGTAACGGAAATTTTGAGCAGTTCGGAGAACTGGCAAATTCCACCTCTGACTGACCCCGCCAACCCCACCTATTTTCTGCCTCCCGAGTCCCAGCTGATCGGCCGGGTCTTCTTTGGTTTCCCTGCACAGGAGAACAGAGCTGGAAAGCAGGTTAGTGGGGTGGGGAGGGAATGGGGATTTTGCAATGACCTTCCCCCAGGAGTGGGGTGGGAATGGTAATTTTACAGATCCTTCCCCTGCCACTGCCACCGAGCCACGCCCGCAGAACTGGTAGTAATTTATTTTGAATTCCACCACCAAATAAACACATATGTACAGTCTATGTAACTGTAAGTAAACTTCCATGGGGGGTATGTCTAATTCAACTATCCAGGCAATCATCTCTGGTGTTGCTTCATGTAGATTTTCTTGATCAGTGCCCCCACAACCTTTTGGGCATCATCAGGGACTGGTTCCGTGGAGAGAGGTTTTTCCGCAGACTGGAAGGGGCGTGGTTCCGCGTGCTGCCTGCATCCCACAGATGAGCCTTTACTTGTTTGCCTGGACTGTTTTTGATATGCCATGGACTGGTGGGCTGATCCATGGACCGGGGGCTTGGGGATTGGGACCCCTGTTCTAGGGAACCAGAGAACGCACATTATGGGCAGTCTTGCACAACATGCTTAGTAGTTTGCATGAATTCACCTGCAATACTGCACAGTTGTAATGAAACATCTATTTAAAAAAACAAAAACCACCAAGCTCAGACAGTAACAAAGAGCCTTCTTAGATATATGTGTGTGTGAATGCTCTACTACAGTATAGTGTTGCCTGGTTGAAAGCTACCCGCCCGAGCCTTTCATCTTTGCTGCAGAAAATGGACCCCTTTAGAGTGTCGCTTGTCTGTTTTCTCCCTCTGCCATTTCCCTCTGTAGATGTTCTATTACAATGAATCACTTTCCCAAATCCTGTTTTCATCATCAAAACATACCAAGAAAGAAGGAAAGAACCCTTCACACAAAGCCACAAGGGGGAAGCAGCCATACCTGTGCCTGAGTAATTTCTCTGCAGTTAATCAGAGGTGTTTCAAGTCCATTGGAGGAACTCTTTTGATAATACTGATCGCTTACCTGTAGAAAGGAAAACTTCCACTATTACCTTTTCACATGCTGCAGCACATTCTAAAAACTAGGGGTGTAGTGATGGTGGAAGAATTGGGACCATTATTTCCTGGGATCAGTCACTAAATATCTTAAAGCGAGCCAGTTTGGTCTAGTGGTTAAGGCATTGGCTAGAAATCAGGTGACCGTGAGTTCTAGTTCCCCTTAGCCATGAAAATCAGCTGGGTGACCTTGGGCTGGTCTCTCTCTCTCTCTCTCAGCCCAATTCCCCCTCACAGGGCAGTTGTTGTGGGCGAAACAACAAGAAGAAAGTGTGTTGGATATGTTCACCACCTTGGGCTATTTATAAAATAACTCAAGGGAGCGGGATACAAATAAATAAATGCGACATGGCAGACGATGGACCACTTAGAAGTCGGGTTCCCAACTTCTTCAGGTCATCCACCCCTTCATGAAGTTTCAAATTGTTGCTGTCACCCAAGAAAGGGGGAGATAAACCCATCCACCACCATCACCCCAATTGGGAATTTAAAAAAAAGAAACAGTCTCTAACCACCGAGGCCTTATAACGGTTCTCCATCCTTTTCTCCTTGCCAAGTCCACCACTGTCCCTTGAACACTCCACTCCTGTAGAACCTGGTAAGTGTGACCTCACAGACATCAGAGCTCCCTCCTACGCAAGTGAGCTGGCAACACGGCGAAAGAGAGAGCAGGTACCAAGAGGGAAAAAAAATGAAGAGATTTCCTACAAATGTTTCTCATTCATGGAGAAGGAGAGGAGGGGAGATTCAGCCTGGCGAATAAGTCCCCCATTGGCCAACTCATGCACCAGCCATACCTAAACTGGCAACACAATTCACCTTGTGTGATGATGTCTTTGGAGATTCATCCAGGTCGTGGCTGTCCCAAAGGTTCTTTTCAATAGGCAACTATTGTTCTTTTTTTTTTAACCTTGAAAACGTTTCACTTCTCATCCAAGAACTGAAGAAGTTTCTTAAATGAGAAGTGAAATGTTTCCAAGGAAAAGAAAACCCAAGAAAGTAATGTCGCCTTACTGAAATGTACCTTTGGGACACCTTGTGTGTTGGCATTAAGAGGTATCCAAGAACGTGCATGCAGTTACAGGATGATGCATCTTGGCTCAATCAGGATCACCTTGGAAGCGTGGGGGAAGATTCCCATGCTTACCACAATTGGGTGCCAGTACGTATTCTTTATATGTGCCTGGTTCCACAAATAGCAGGAAAGGCTTATCAGGAAAAGCGGAACCGTGGCGAATCTACTCTCTGTACAATCCCCAGCATTCTTCTGGCTGTAGGCACAACAAGATGTCTACTCCAGGTTCCTGGACCTTTTTAAAATCTGCATAGAGAACTAAATCATAAAATAACAAACTCAACAATGTTTTTGCAATGCCCATCCAGCAACCAGGCAGAGAACCGGTGCTGAAATTTTTGAAGCCCACCCTTGGTTAGGTTGCATGACACCAGGCCGTAAGGAGGTCATCTGAACCCCACTTACTATTTCATCTGGTATCATGTGGTTAAGGCGTCAGGCTACAAACCAGGAGGCCATGAGTTCTAGTCCCACCTTAGGCATGATGAAGCCACTCTAGGTGACTTTGGGCCAGTCCCTCTCTCCCAGCCCTAGTAAGCAGGCAGAAACTAGGAGACCATAAGTCCCACCTTAGGCATGAAACCATTTTAGTAACTTTGGGCCGGTCACTATCTCTCTCAGCCCTAAGAGGCCAGCAATGGGAAACCACTTCCAAAATCAGGCCAAGAAAATTGCAGAGATTTGTCCTGTCAACATTGATTTGAAGGCACCCTCCAAAAGATAAAATGTACACAATATAACATAATACAATATGTATAGTTGACTTATGTAATAGGAATGTATATTTGGAAGGGAAGACCGTTGATATTGTGACATTGCACGAAAGAAATGTACCAATCGACATACTGTATTTTGGAAGATGGCTTTATGTTGATATTTTATGTTTGCGTTTGTTAGTGTTTGACTTTTTTAAAAAAATAAAAAAACTGTATATAAAAAAACAAAAAACAAAATGTTATGAGAGGACCTATAGATGACAACCGGCAGCTTGAACTGTAATTCTGAAGCCAAGGTGTCACGGTGGCATCTTCAAATCCTTTCCCATCCCCAAGTATTTCACAAATAACAAAGGAAAAATCTATATTCCATCAAAAACCAGCTTCTTATAGGACTCACCACTCCAAAGAAAACAATTATAGCAAGGAACAAAGAATATATAGACTAATAGAGAAAAAGTCTTTTTCCAAACTCATACCCCTTCCCCCCCAAAAGGCAAGCTGAGCTACAAACATGTATTTTGAAAAAGAAAAATGACTTGCAGGCCAGCTCGTGTATGTCTAGCTTTCTTACCGTCCTTATTATAAGCATCTTCACATAAAATCCTTACCTACTTACCATCTAAGAGCCTCTTAGGTAAAGCTTTATTCCTAAAGATAATTAGTGCAGAAATAGCTTTCTGGAGGTATTTTTCCCCCCACCAGTTCCACCTGGTGCTTAACTCACTTCAATCAGCTTAAAATGCTGACCAAAATTATAGCTACAAATTACTAAATGTATTCCATTATAAGTCAGTAATATAATGCCACCCGTGTTTACTGTGCAAGAGCTGTGATGAAAACAGAAAAAAAAAGATTTCTGGAAAGGAATATCTTTATTTTTATACAGATAGAGCCCGGTTTTTCCTTCAAGAGCTCCAGATGCCAGCATTTCATTCTTCCAATTTTTCTCTTAAATAATCCTTCAGAGAGATTGGCACCTGCACTTGCTGGGGGTGTCAGAAAAGTCAAGATGGCACTCACAACCTTGGGACCAAAGTCCCGACCCTTTCTGTGTGTGTGTGTGTGTGTGTGTGTGTGTGTGTGTGTGTGAGAGAGAGAGAGAGAGAGAGAGAGAGAGAGAGAGAGAGAGAGAGAGAGAATGCACACAAGGAGAGGTTGGGATGATTACTTGATCATGCTGCCATCTTGGCATTGTAGATGGGGCCAGTGGTGGGAGTCAATGTTTTTTTACTACCGGTTCTGTGGGCGTGGCTTGGTGGGCATGGCAGGGGAAGGATACTGCAAAATCCCCATTCCCTCTCCACCCCACTAACCTACTTTCCAGCTCTGTTCTCCTGTGCAGGGCAACAAAAGAAGACCCAGCCAATCATCTGGAACTCAATGGGAGGCAGAGAATAGATGGGGGCAGGGCTACTCAGAGGTGGTATTTCCTGGTTCTCTGAACTACTCAAAATTTCCACTTCCAGTTCTCCAGAACTGGTCAGAACCTGCTGAATACCACCTCTGGATGGGGCATATTTTAAATTTAATTTCATATCAGGGATGCCCATAGAAAAAGATGCCATGGCAGGCATGCGTATTCACATGTTGGCTAACGTAGCAGGCATCATGAAAACCCCCATTACCCAGAAAGATAAGTAATTTACCAGGAGTTTTACTATTACAGTTGAACAAAAGTTGAACCTTGAATTAGCCCAGATGTGCTTTCCAAACCTGGGGAAATTACTTCAAATTGAGTAAAAGTGCTTTTTTCTTTGGGTAGCTGCACACAAGCTCATTACCCAATCATAAAATAGAATATTTAAAGGAATACTTTCTGATCAGCAGTTGGTGGGGGAAGGAAGGAGGGAGGGAGGGAGAGAGAGAGAGAGAGAGAGAGAGAAAGAAAAGTTTGGGAATCACCTCCTTAAACTGTTTCTTTGCAAACATTTGTCCCTTTTGCAGTCATAGGAAGCTGCACCGATGCCTTTTGACCACACAGGGGTGGTAGGGAACCAAGAAACAGGATGGATGCCACTCTTCTAGATATGGCTGGGCCTTCCCAGGTTAGCTCGCTTGGGAGAGCTGAAGCCAAAGTCCATGATACCGCCGGTTGGGATCTTACAATCTGCAAAAGAAGGGCGTATCTATTTCAATTTCACCAAGTAGAACTCTCCAGAAGAGCTGAGATGATCGCTCCCCAGATGTTCAGCTAAATTGCGCCTATTTTTAGCAAGTTTATCAGCATGAAAGCAGGGATGCGGTGGCTCATTGGCTAAGACGCTGAGCTTGTCAAGCAGAAAGTTTGGCAGTTCGGCGGTTCGAATCCCTAGCGGCCACGTAACGGAGTGAGCTCCCGTTCCTTGTCCCAGCTTCTGCCAACCTAGCAGTTCGAAAGCATGTAAAAAATGCAAGTAAAAAAATAGGGACCCCTTTGGTGGGAAGGGAGCAGCGTTCTGTGTGCCTTTGGCATTTAGTCATGCCGGCCACATGACCACAGAGACGTCTTCGGACAGCGCTGACTCTTCGGCTATGTAACAGAGGTGAGCACTGCCCCCTAGAGCCAGAAACGACTAGCATGTATGTACGAGGGAAACGTTTATCTTTACCTGATCAGTATGAACTCGGGATGGGATCTTTAGCGTTAGCACTAATCATGGCAAATTAATTGCCTGGGAATTATTCAGAGGTTGCACAGCCTACGTTGTTGTGAGCAAAGCTGGTCTCCACTTAGTAATCCAAGTTTCTCCAAGGGGCTGCAGTTTGGAAATCCAAAGCCATTGACAATAAGTTAGAAGAGACTCTGAGGAAGGACCAAGGGACCTTATCGCCTTCTTTTAAAGACCCCATAATCCCTTGCAGGGCGGAGTCTTGGGCAACTGAATGGATTTGAGTTGTTACTGCCCGGATGCTCTTCCCGTCACCAGTGCAGAGACTGTTTCATCAGATCTATTCTCAGTGCGCCCAGAAAGAAATACCTGCCTCTACCTAGGATCAAACTCACAGCTTCCTGATTGTGAGGCAAGAGCTCCACCACTGCACCACTCAACCAAAGGACTTTATAATACTGTAATAATAGGGAATGGATAACTTTAGCAGTTATTCAACAGATTTATTTAGAACATTTATATATCTGTCCATCTTATAACAAACTGTGAATGGCTCCCAAACAAAGAGATAAGCCACTTCCCTGTTGCTCCAAAAGTACACGAGGAAAGAGACCAGGATGCTGTTGCCTAAGATTGCTTATAGGGGTACAGGTAGTTCTCAACTTACGGCCACAATTCAGCCCAAAATTTATGTCGCTGAGTGACATATTTGTTAAGTGAATTTTTCCTCCCTTTCTTGCCAAAGTTGTGAAGCAAATCACTGAAGTTGTTTAAGTTAGTGACCTGATCGTTAAGTGAAACTAGCTTCCCCATGGGCTTTGCTTGTCAGAAGATCACAAAAGGGGATTGATCGTGTGACACTGTAACCGTCATAAAGATGAGTCAGTTGCCCACTGGCTAAATTTTGATCACGTGACCATGGGGATGCTGGAACGGTCGTTTAGTGTGACAAACGATCACGTCACCCTTTTCAGGGCTGTTGTAACTTTGAATATTCACTAAAGGAGCCAAGGTGGCGCAGTGGTTAGAGTGCAGTACTGCAGGCTACTTCTGCTGACTGCCGGCTGCCTGCAATTCGGCAGTTCAAATCCCACCAGGCTCAAGGTTGACTCAGCCTTCCATCCTTCCGAGGTGGGTAAAATGAGGACCCAGATTGTTGGGGGCAATAGGCTGATTCTGTAAACCGCTTAGAGAGGGCTGTGAAACACTATAAAGATATATATAAGTTTAAGTGCTATGGCTATTGCTAAATGAACTGTTGTAAGTCGAGGACTACCTTTATATACACAGATTGCTTCATTTGAAAGCATTTGAAAGACTTGCTGCGATTCTTTCAATGCAATCTTAAGCTTCCTTTTCAAAAATATTACTCATCTTGGCTCCTAGACTCTTGCTCTATGGTTGCATTTATTTCTATTCCATATTCCTAGTAAGGAAGCCTGACAGCTACTAAGAAAATAACTTTTCATTAGGTGGGTTATTCCTATTTGTTCTGCCAGCAATCCATTAGCATTCTCCTTTCTTTAAAAAAAAAAAACACCTTCTGATACGAGACGGCCTATAAATACATGCCATACCCTGTGCCCGAGTCAAGAATGTGCCTACGCATATTCATAGAGCTTCTCTAATGTTCATGGAATGCCCGAATCTTCTCAGCATGCTGGTGAGGCTCTCTTTGAAACAGGTGTTCCATCGGGGAAAATCAGCGCGAGTGATCTGATCAGAGAAGTTAATTGAAGAAAAGGGGCCTGCGCGGGAC